ACAGCCCCCGAGGCGAAAATAATTAAGAAGCTTGAAGATTTATTCACAAGATCTAATTCTAATCCCGACATGTCGATTGACAGAGATCTTTACAAATTAGTATGTGACGTTAACCTTCTAAGGGTGGCATATGACAAACTTAAGAGTAAACCAGGACAAATGACTCCAGGTGTTAACCCCGAAACTTTGGATGGTATGTCGTCAGAAGTTCTCTCTAATATAGCCGAAAAGCTTAAAACTGAGCAGTTTGACTTCCATCCAGGTAGAAGAGTCCAAATACCTAAAAACTCTGGGGGAACTAGACCCTTGACGGTCGCATCCCCAAGGGATAAAATAGTTCAAGAAGCTATGAGAATGGTTTTGGAAGCGGTGTACGAACCGTTATTCTCAGTTCATAGCCATGGATTCAGACCCCAGAGGGGATGCCATACAGCTCTTAAGGAAGTCAAAGAACAGTTCCAGCCAGCTGTGTGGGTTATCGAGGGTGACATCTCGAAATGTTTTGACAGCATTGACCATCATAAGTTAATGGATTTAATTGAGGCAAAAATATCTGATAGAAAATTTACAAGACTTATCTGGAAGAGCTTAAGAGCAGGTTATTTTGAATTCTTCAGATACCACAACAATATTGCTGGAACCCCTCAAGGGTCCATAATCAGTCCAATCCTAGCCAATATATTTATGACCCAATTAGACGATTTTGTAGAGGAGTTGGAAGCAAACTTCAACAAGGGTTCTAAATCTCGAGCCTCGACCTTTGCAAACGTTATGCATAGCCGTAAGTATAGGGCAAAGAAGAAGGGTGATTTGGCTTTAGTTAGAAAACTCACAATCGAAAGTAGAAAGCTCCCATGGGCCAACTTTTCGGATCCTACGTTCAAGAAATTATCATACGTCAGATACGCGGATGATTGAGTATTGGGTATCAAAGGATCTCTTGAAGAAACCAAGGACTTTCTGGAGAAAATTGATGAGAAGCTAGCCTCGATGGGTCTTGCACTTAGCAAGGCCAAAACGAAGGTGACTAATCTTAATACCTCGAAAGTAACGTTCCTAGGTACGAACATATTTAGGGCTAGAGAAGTTAGTTATTCTCGGAAATCCGATACTTCCTTCTTAGTAAGAAACTCGAGAAAATTAAGACTTGAGGCCCCTTTGAAGAGAATATTATCCAAATTACACGATACGAATTTCATGGAGAACAGTAAATCTACTCCCAAATTCGTTTGACTAAGTTTGGAACATAGACAGATTATTCACTCTTATAACTCGGTACTTAGAGGATACCTTAATTACTACAAATTTACACACAATTATGGAAAACTAGCGAGTTCTCTAACGTACATTCTAAAATCTTCGTGTGCTAAACTATTAGCAGCTAAGTACTCTCTAGGCACTGAGTCGAAAGTTTATTATAAATATGGTCCACAATTAAATGTTCCTAATGGGGTCAGGGGCAGTATTGGTAAGAAAGCAATCGGGTTCTTGAAACCTAGTTATAAGATAACTCTTAAGTTCTTAACCAACAGTTCCCCAATTATTAAATCTCTGTACGGATCTAAATCTATCGCTTCCCTCGACGACCTCGAGTGTAGTGTATGCGGATCGGAATATCGTGTTGAGATGCACCATGTAAGACATTTAAAGGATCTGAATCCTAAACTATCCTTGGTGGATAAACTTATGGCTTCTAGACGTAGAAAACAAATTGCTCTCTGTCGAGAATGCCATATGAGAACTCACCGGGGTGAGATGAATAATAAGGGTCAGAAAATAGATCGTAAGAATAAATAATGAAATTTGTGGAGAGCCTAGTGACGCGAAAGTGTCCCGCTGGGTTCGGGAAAGAGGCATCAGCGACCTATCAGGTTTCGGTGACCTTAGTTCATTCTTTAATAGAAGGAGAGAGAAAAGGTTCATTATACGGTTCAGTGGCAACAGTGTTATTAGCTGTAGTTTTTACAATATTCCAAGGAATTGAATACAGTGTATCATCTTTTACAATAAGTGATGGTGCTTTTGGTGCATGTTTTTTTTTCGGTACGGGGTTTCACGGGTTGATTTGCAGCCCTAATAATTTTTTATATAATAAATTAAATAATAAATATTATAGCAATTTAGTTAGTAATACTAATATAAATAACAAATTGAATATTACTATGCCTACGTTTACATCTGAAGTTAATTCTTATTATTTAGATAGGAAATTTATAGAATGACTTGTAGGATTTACAGACGGGGAGGGTAACTTCCATATTAGATTAACAGCTTTGGAAAATACTACATATAAATCTGCTCAATTTACGTTTCAAATTGGTCTTCATAAAGATGAAATAGAGGTATTAGAATACATTAAGAATACACTCAAATGTGGGCATATTTCTAAATCTAATAATAAAGTGAATTATTTTGTAAATGATCTAAATTCATTATTACATGTTATAATTCCTATGTTTGATTATGTAAATCTTAATAGTTCAAAATATCACCATTTTGTATTATTTAAAAAAGCGGTATTATTAACTAAAAATAAAAGTCATTTATCTTCTGAAGGTAAATTGGCTATAATAGGTTATAAAAATGAAATGCAAAAGTTATCAGGTAAATGAATACCAGGTTCTATTAAAGAAAAAATTAATATAACTAAGTATTGATTAGCTGGTTTTATAGATGCAGAGGCTACCTTTTCAACTAATAAATATGTGCCTAGATTTAAAATGGAAAATCATGTTAAAGAACTTGAATTATACAATAAAATAAGAGAATTTTTGAAAACTGGTAATATTTTATTAACAACTCCTCGGGAGTATAGAGTTAACAATAATCCTACCATTGTTTTAGAAATTAATAAAGTTACTGAGCTTAGGGATATTTTTATATCCCTTATCTTTGATGATAATAAAGAAGTTTTATTGAGAACTTTAAAATCTAAAGATTTTTCATTATGGTTTAAATTAGTAGATATATATTATAAAGGTTATCATACTACATTGGAAGGTAAACATGTATTTGATGCAATCAAATTGCATATGAACAAATATAGATTAACAACTAATGCTAATATGCTTAAAGATAAAAAAGTCATTTCTCTTTTAGAAGTGGAAAATTTATTGTCTGCACTTTATTTATCTGATAGTCCTTATGAGATAAGAGGATCCGGAGTACGGTTTATTAGAAATACTAATAAATTAGTAAGTGAATCTAATAATATTGTTGTTATAGATAGCAATAATAATAAAAACATCTATAGTAGTATGACTGAATGTGCTAAAAGTCTTAATATTTCTAGGAGTACTATAAAACAATGTTTAAATACGGGTAAGTCTCATAAAGGATATACTTTTGTTTTAAATTAAATTTAATATTATATAATTATTTTTAATAAAAAAGTAAAAAGCAAAAAATTCATTGTATCTTCATTTAATGATAATTTGCTGCCAAGTATATATCGTTTATGACATATATAAAGGTTCAACGACTAGCTAATAAATATAAAGCACTTTAAATTATTTTATTATATGGCTTATTCTCGTCAACAAAGTTGGTAGGGGAATGAGATTAAAGTGAAGAATGGCATTAAACTTTTCATATTAATTATTAAAATACATTTAGATTATTTTAATAAGCACTAATATGATGACATAGTCTAATCAATAATGTGAATTATTGTTAATATTTTGTGCACGTTATAATAGGAACTCTTTTTTTGTCAGTAGCTCTGTGAAGAATATTTGCTTACCATTTGACTGACAATCACCATTTGGGGTTTGAGGGCGGTATTCTTTACTGACATTTTGTGGATGTTGTTTGACTTTTTTTGTATGTATCTATTTACTACTGAGGTTCATAGTAGTAATATTTAAACAATGATCTTTTATGACTTTTTTTCTATCTTTCTTTTTATCACTCGCAAGCGGTGTTAGCGGTGTTAGCGGTGCTAGCGATGCTAGCGGTGCAAGCGGTGCTAGCGATGGGTTGATCATTTCAGATTATATTGTTTACGTTTCAGGAAAAAAACGTGAACGTTCAGTTGAAGAAGAAGAGGCTGACAATTCCAGTAATAAAGATAAAAAAGAAAAATTGGAAAAAGAATTAACAGATTATGTGCAAGATTTAAATGATATAGAGAAAGCTCTGTATTTAGATAAAAAATTGCCAGAGAGTCAAAAAGAGTTTAATGCTGAAGCAAGGAATCTAAAAAAAGATTATCCTACATTTTTCGACGAAGATAGTGAAAACACTACTAAGGAAGGTTTAGAGCAACTAATGGAATATCTTAAAGAAGAAGCTGGTCTTGCTAAAAAAGAACATAGCGAATTAATTACTTCTCCTGAAACTAAAAGATTTAAACAAGATTCTAGTGAAGTTGTCGATGATGGGTCTGAACCAACTCCTTTAAGTGATTTAGACGGAGGTGATTAATATAAAATTTATTTGTTATATGCTTACGGTAAATTAATTTATTATTGTTTTATAATATAAATTTTTTTGAAGTTTTTCTTATAAAGTCAGTTGTAAGTTATAATAAATAACTATTATATAGTTAGGGTGCATAGTAATTTAATACTATGTTCCCGTCCTCTTTACAAGAGTATAGTTTAATGGTAAAATAAGAAGCTTCAACCTTCCGGTTCTCAGTTCGAATCTGAGTGCTCTTGAAGTTCAATAGGTTCTATTTTTTTTTCTTAGAAGTACCGGACCAAGGTCTTGTTTATCGGTTACCCATAAATTATTTATCAAAAATAAAAAATAAGGTATTTTATCCTGTAACTAGGTAAAGGATATTTGTATAAATTTTTACTCATCTTGCTAGGTAAAATTAATAGAAAGGGAAGGGGTAAAAAAAACAAATTTAAAATACATAAAAAGAAGGACTCTTAATAGAAAAAAAAAAATCTTTTGCTTATTATAAGTAGTGAGTAAGAAACTGTATAATAAATACTTAAAATTTTGTATAAAAAAAAATTTAATATTTTAGTTAATGTAAATTATTAAAAGGGTGTTTAGTATAATGGTTAATACATATGACTTTTAATCATTAAGATGCCGGTTCGAATCCGGCAATACCTATATATTTCGTGGTTCTATAATACAGGAATTTTTCTTGGCCATAATAAGTAGGGCGGGCGCCTTGCCTTTCTAATTTCTTACCCTTTATGGGATAATGGGATAGGGGAATAGCAAAAGAAAAATTTTTTGTACGATAATCTCCAAAAAAAATTAAAATAGCTACCTTTAACTAAAAAAAAAATAAGTACTTTCTAGAATATATAGAGGATAATCAATAGTCCAAAATCCATAGTCTTACGCATAGTTCTATCCCTTAATCTCATAATGACCTTCGCGTCTATATAATCTTTTTAGGATGGGCTACGGGATTAAGAATTAGTAACTTAATTGGTAAAGGACTTCCTTGTCACGGAAGTAGATGTCGGTTCGAATCCGACCTAATTCGATGGTAAGGGTAATAATTTTTTTTGCGTACCCTAATAAAATTATTGGTTTTTAGGGCTATTAAAAAGTTGATAGTTCATTTTTTAGATCTTTTTATTATTTAAAAGTATATATTCCCTAATTTCTTTGTTAGTACTATGCGAGGGTATATTGGGAAAAGTTGCTATAGGTAGGGCGAGATATTTGCTAAATATTGTGTTTTAACACTTGGGTGTTCGATTCACCTCTTTTCCGGTGAAGCTTAGTTTATCATAAATTATTATGAATAATTTAAGGGAATTGTATATTTGCTCATAATTTATTGAAAAAAAAAGAACTAGCCTGGGGGGGGTAGGGTTATTAGACTACACCTTTATAGAAAAGTTCTCTCATAATCCTTTTGGGATAAGTGTAATAATTATTCGTAATCAATCACGGCTATCATTTAATGGTAGGATGTCTGTCTTCCAAATAGAGTGTGTCGGTTCGATTCCGACTAGCCGTAATTTTTACCTAATCTTCGAAGCTCTAATTTGAAATAGTGGCGCTCCTTATCTAAAATTGGTTATTTTTAGTTAGAATGTAATATAATAAGTGATAATAAAAATAAATATATTTTATTTTATACTATTCCGATAAGGTTGTTTTGTAGCTAACTTAAGCTTTGGTGGTGGTGGTAGCCTCGCGAATCTTAGTAGATAAGCAAAATCTTTGTGAATAACCGGAAAGTCAATTTTTGCTTTCGATTATTTTCGTAAGGAATCTAGAAAAGATTTTTTTTGTAACCTGTAACCTGTAAGGTAAGTATATTAGGTACTAACTTCCTCATTGAGGTATACAAAATTTGTAATGAAAAATGAATAATCTGTTCTTAGTTAAAGAAATGTTCACCGATGGTTATATAGGGAATATCTTAAATATAATATCTTTGTTTGCAGTCTTGTGCAGTGTTATGGTTATTATAAGTAAAAATCCAGTAGTGTCTGTTTTATTCTTAATCGGTTTATTTGCTGGTATATCTTGTTATTTAATTTTAATAGGGTTAGGTTTTATGGGTTTAGCTTACTTAGTGGTATACATAGGTGCTATCTCTATATTATTTTTATTTATTTTAATGCTTATAAATATAAGAATAAGTGAGTTACAGAGTAATACTCTAAATACTATACCATTAGCTATTACTATAGGTTTAGCATTAAACTATCCTTTATTTAAAATTTTACCTTATGATATTGCAATATTAAGTAACAATAATTACATGAATAATATATTACATGACATATCTTTAAATAAATACAATTCTGATAACTTGAAAAATTATAATATTTATGATAATAATTTATCTTTTGTTACTAGTAATAAATGAGATGGTAACTTAGCTGAAACTGGCCATATTACAAGTATAGGTAGTGTAATGTATACAAATTACAATATGTGGTTATTAATAGCTAGTTTTATATTATTATTAGCTATGGTTGGTTGTATTGTTATAACTTTAAAACCATCAACACCTAGGAATAATAGCTAGAAATAACCAGCTAGAAATAAGAGGTAGTAGTAGCAATCAGTTTTCCTACTTATAGTTTTCCATTTAAACACACATAACCAAAGTAGAAAGTCATATTACAAATAATAATTTAGCAGTATTCATTATTAACGTTGACTTTTTTTATTTATTACCACGAAAATAAAAAAAAAATTCTATGAAAAGTGCGTTTAAATTTCAAAGGATCTTCCTCAGGGGACCGGGACCGGGACCGGGACCGGGACCGGGACCGGGACCGGGACCGGGACCGGGACCGGGACCGGGACCGGGACCCTTGTCGTCCTGTAGGGTCCCGGTCCCCTCCCAAAAGAAATTAGCTCAATTGGTAGAGCAACCGTTTTACACACGGAAGGTTGGGTGTTCGAGTCACCTATTTCTTAATAAAAGGGAAATAAAGAAACAGTCTTAAATACTCTGAGTAATATTTAGTTAACCTATGGCAATAGAAGGATTCCTTGACTTAACTGGTTAAAGTGTATCTTTGATAAGGATAATATCAGCGTTCGAGTCGCTGAGGAATTATGGATGGATCGCTTTGTTTATTTTTTTTTTCAAAATTACCCCTGAGCCTACCCGACCAAAACAGGGGTATTATGCAAATATATACGGGGGGCTAGTTTCCTTTATAATATAAAAACACCTAACTGAGTCTTAGAATAATTAGATGAGAGTTGTAACGTCCTTCATATTACGTTGAGGTATTGGTACTTAAAATAGAATATATTGTCTATATGCTAGATATAGTTCATAAAGAGAATTGACCGAGTGGTCTAAGGTGGTAAGCTTGAGTCTTATTTGATTATTATTAATCACATCCGTTCGAATCGGATATTCTCTGTCATATCTTTTTACTTAATATTTACATATAAATACACAGTTTCTTTTTAGCTAACTGTATTTGGATTATTATTTTATTATAGGTAACGGGTTCTACAATCTTTACTTGTTTTTTTTTTAATTATTCTAAAAATTTAAATTTCTATTTTTCTAGGTGGTAAAGAATAAAAAAAAAATCTTACTTGGGGAGCTCAGCGATAGCTTATTTTTTTCTGTCCATAGTTATGCTAACTGAAAATAAAATACAGGTCTGTACTAACTCTCGTTATTGGAAGAAAACTAAAAATAAATTTCTTAATTGTTTTAGGTTAATTTTTTTTGATTAGTGAATCAAAAAAATAATCCCTTACTCGGTAAATTACTAAAATAATCAAAAAATTATAGGAGAGTTTGCTTGCTTATTTATTTTTGCCCTTCAGAGTCCGGACAAGTGCAGCGATCCAGGGTTTCTGGATCTTTTTTTTTTTATTATAAGCCCGCCCAATAGACTCTTAATATAATAACAGTATAGTGATTATACAGTGTGGATAAATCACTATGAAAAATAAGACTTAATAATTTAATGCTTATTTTTATTGGTTTTCGGATTAGAGCCAGGCGGTTAGGCGCGCTCTTTGGGAGAGCGAATAGTTATGTTCGATTCATAATAATCCGATATTAATTATTTATGATTTTTAAGAGGTATGTGGCAGATTATTTCTTCTCAATGTACGAAAAGATAGTATATTATAATAGACTGACCTATATTAAATATAACATCTTTTCTTATCAGTGAAAAACTAGATAGTTATTTTACAGGTAAGGAGTTCTAATTGGATAAACATAATGTATATTATGGTATACATGCTAAGTATACGAAAGGGATAGGGGTGAACTGTAAGTTCGTTCCCTATAAATCTCTAATGCGGGTTGATGTAATAGTTAACATGCTGGACTCATGATCCAAAATTGAAGGTGCGAATCCTTTGCCTGCATATAATCTCAGTAGCTCAAAAGGTAGAGCAGGTATTTTCCTAAATTACCGATGTTAGTTCAAATCTAAAATGGGATGGGAGGGTGGTGCCTTAAAATACTAGGGTGGTAACCTTACTAAATAACAAGGATGGTAACCTTAAATAACTAATTATATTATTACTTTAAAAGTATGGAAAGGAACTTTTATGGAAATATAGTGCCGTGTATTAAAGAGAAGATATTATATTATGTTTTTACTACTGCGTAGTAATAACGTATAAACTCTAAGATAAATTACTTGATAAACGAAGCGAATCGAAATATCCTAGTAGCTTCAGGAAAAGAAATCAAAAGAGATTTTACGAAGTAGTGTGAACGAAAGTAAAACAGCCTATTTAGAATAAGTAAGATGGTTTCAAAACTGTTGGAAGATTTGTTAAACTCGTTGTGCATTGCGAAGTAGGGCTAATATCCGGAAAAGCTGATGCATTAATTGGTTTAACTGGGGAACCTACCCCAAAGGCTAAATATAATACATGAGCATCAGAGAATAGTACCGTAAGGGAATTATTGAAATAGAAGTTTTATAAGCAGCTCGAGATATCAAAAAAAAAAGAGCGTACCTTTTGCATAATGGGTCACCAAGTTAACATTAGATGCAAGTGATAGTAATTATATCACACACCGTCAAAAAAAGAACGACGAAGGTAAAAAGAGTGTTAAAGGGAGTTGTATATTTAGTAGGCCGCAAATTGCCTATAAATAGGGATTTTCTTCATCACTTCAATTGGGGCCGGAGTCCGGAAGTCTCGTTGACTGTGCGAGATATGTTAGTGAGGTGTCTGCTTCCCGCCTTCTTGTATTTATACATAGTAGGCGTCCAATGAGGGGAAATTTTCCTCCTGGGAGTGTGTCCGAGCAACTAGGTTCTGTAAACCCCGCGATACATGATTGTGGTTAATACCCACCTTGTACGACGATGGTAAAACAGGACTTGTCACTGTAGTTAACGCGTAGTTAAACCGATCATAATATAATAGAAAATGATAAGTGTCTAAAGTTAGACCCGAAGCCTAGTGATCTTACTATAGTCAGGGCTTAAGTGGCTCGAACGGTTTATTGTTGCAAAAATATCCGATGAACTATGGTAAGCTTAGTGAAAGACAATTCTGACTAGGATAGCTGGTTTTCTGCGAAACCTATAATAGTAGGCAATTTAAGTAACATTATAGCAGGTACAGAACTTAATCTCTGACCAGATGTACATATTTCATATCTTTATTTTTTGCGCAAGTGGTTAATAAATATGTGAAAATACATTGTTCGCTGGTACATATCGGGGGGCCGTAGCAAGCTTTATCGGTGAGTATGTAGACTCGGAATGGCTTATATGGATCTTGAATGATCAGACATAGAATGATAAGGTTAAATACAGCCTTTTTGTGGAAGTGAACCTTCTGCTTTAAACCATCAAATTGCGGGAAAGCCCTAAAGCAATCTTAACTAACCAAGGATAGTAATATACCTTGGGGCGCAGGTAATGACTCGCGATATAGTAAAATCAAGATTGATTTACAGTTGTAGAATGGGTAATCCGCAGCCAAGCACCACTATGAAAAGACAGCGTACCTTTTGCATAAGTGAATCCGCTAATGTAAGATTCATTATAAGGTATGTAAAGTTCTTTAAAGTAAAGGTGTGCAGTTCATCGACTAGATGTTGGTTGGTGTTATTAGGGCGCAGCCTTAATAATGCTTAAGATATAGTCAAGCCTCATTCGAAAGAATGCAATGGCAGTAAAGTAATTTTTATTTTGAAAGTATATAAATTCGAGGCCTTTTTTGGCAACTACGTTCTTTTCGTGTCCATACTTCCATCTTTTCGTTAACTATTTAACGCGAATATTCTATATTAGTAAGGTATTAAATTAAAACAAGAAGGAAAAAAAAAACAACAAGAAAAAAACAACATGAATTTAAATAAAATTAATAATATTTCACCTATAAAAAAATATGATAACGCGAAAGTTTTAAAAACAATTATTTTAGCTGAAAATAGAAATAAATCTGGTATTTATCTAATCCCCGGAGGGGATACGAATAAATAACCTAAATGAAAATACATATGTAGGTAGTGGGGCCAATTTAGCAAAGAGAATAGGGGATTATTATAATAAAAGCGAGTTAGTAAGAAATCCTAGACCAATACATCTTGCTTTATTAAAATATGAACATAATAATTTTTCTTTAGAGATTCTAGAGTATTGCGCTAAAGATATGTTAATTGAAAGAGAACAATACTATCTGGATTTACTTAATCCTGAGTATAATATATTGAAAAATGCTTATTCCTTATTAGGTTATAAGCACAGTGAAGAAAATATTGCAAAGTTTAAATTAAAAAAAATTTCCGAAGAACATAAAGAATTATTGTCTTCTATTCATACAGGAAAGAATGTTAATCAAGAAACTAGAGATAAATTGTCTCTTGCTACTACAAATTATAAAAAGAATAATCCTCTTACAATTGAAGCTTTAGCTAATATTAGAGCTAAAACGATTGAGCGTGAGGGAGTATCTGTTATAGTTTTAAATACTGAGACTAAAGAACTAAAAGTTTTTACCAATCAGACTGAAGCAGGAGCTTTTTTAGGTGTTACAAGACAAGCAATATATAATGCAGTTAAAAGAGGTAAACCTCTTAAAGGTATTTACCTAATATCAAAATAAAAATAAAAATTACTTTAGTTTCGGCAAACCGAAACCAGGATATTTATTCTTATGAATAAAGCCTGTTGTCTAAATGGATAGTTTACAATCTTATATTGTTGTTAACTGTTTAGGGAGAAAGATCTTTGCCTTAGTTTAAGTAAGGCTAAAGATTCTCTGTGTATGTCAAAAAGGGAAACAGCCCAGAACAAAAGTTAAGGTTCCAAAATTATTGTTCAGTGAAAATTAAGAAGGTATTTATTAGAGTCGACCAGAAGATGGGCTTAGAAGCAGCCATAATTTCAAGACCTCGTAACAGAGCGCTGGTTAAATCTTTAGGTGCATCGAAAATTTAACGGATCTAAACAATATACCGAAACTTTGTCCTCAATTAACTACTATACTGAAATAAAATCTTCCCTTCCCCCCGTCAACAAAGTTGGTGGGGGGGGGGGGATAGGGACCCCCAAAGGTCCCTGAGGGTCCCCTAATCCCCAATGGGGATAGGGTAAGTAAATAATTCGCGATCATGTGAATTATTTAAATAGGTTTATAATAGGGTTAATTGCAGGGGTAGCAGAACGTTGGGTTATATTAGATTTTGAATTTTTTAAATCAAAATAAACAAAACCTCAAGTGATAATGGTGACATGAGTAACGAAAAGATCTAATATTTATGGTACCTGTAGATCGGGCGTAACCCCCGAAAAGCAGGCCTGATATTAAGAACTCGCCTAAAGCTTAAGGTTACGAGTCAAACGGCCTCTAAGTTTCTAACCTGAAGGTTAAAACGATGAGATAACAGTGTTAATTGCTCGCATATACTTCTTACTTCTTGACCGAAGTGTGAGGTATATGCTGCATATCGTGTACAACATTTGGGTGTAAAATGAAGTTAACTGTTCTCATTTTATGTAAGTGACAAATGTGCTGGAAAAACGGATGATATGTTGTAGTAATTAGTGGCCAAGGTCTTAACATAGTGAGATGAAGGATAGTCAGTACTAATTGGCTATGTTGAAGTTAAATGATGATTGTTAGACCAACTAAAAAATTGGTCGGTACCGTACCTGGAGACTACCGAACAAGTAAGCTAGTAGAGAATACGAAGGCGTAAGAGATAACAATCATAAAGGAACTCGGCAAATTGATACCAAAACTTCGGGAAAAGGTAGGCTCATTAGTCTTGATTAATACAAGTAAAAAGGAAGAAGCATAAAAAGATGTTGTACGACTGTTTAATTAAAACACAGCACTTTGCAAAAAGATGATAAATCTAAGTATTGAGTGTGATACCTGCCCGGTGCCGGCTGGTTAACGGAAATAACTAAATTGTCGTAAATTTGGTGTAGAAGGAAACCCCGGTTAATGGCGGCCTTATACCTGAGGGTCCTAAGGTAGCGGAATACCTTGGCCGTTAAATGCGGTCTTTGCATGAATGGTGTAACGATACAACAGCTGTCTCTATGATTGACTCTGTGAAATTGGAATAACTGTGCAGATACAGTTTACCTCTAGTTGGACGAGAAGACCCTATGCAGCTTTACTGTTACTAATTATGTAGTATAATAAATAGTCAAATTT